TCAGACGTCAAACTTTCATACCATGTATAGTCTCCTCAAACTCATTACATTGATACCCAAACTTGATAAGGACACAAAGAGAGCAAGCTACAGACAATTTCTCCAATGAACACATATGTAAAAACTCTCCAAAATCCTTACAAATTCGAGAATACGTTAAGGTCCCACACCATGACCAAGTTGACTTCATCCTAGAGATGCGGACAACTCTAAGTGTGACTCAGCACACAGAGAGAGTTCAGGGGCTGGAGAGACGGCTCAGCCACTAAAGGCTAGGCTCACAACCAAAAATATACAGAGAATTCAGGACAATACCACTTCATAATAAAAAGCCAAGAATTAGAAGGAACATAGTTCCATATGTAACAAAGGTTGTGTATAACAAACGCACGGCCAATGGGAGAAAAAAAAATTGTTTCCTCTAAAATTTGGAAGACAAGGAACCTTGTTCTCTGTATTCTTACTCACCATGGTGCTCTGAGTCTTACCTAGGTTGCTCTTTTATGATGTTGTACGCCTGGTGGGCAGTTCCTGGGCATATCAATCAAACTTTGCTGAGATTTGGGCAATTCTGCACAAAGCATGTACATGCAGAGGAAGTGGGGTGGTAGGTCTCTGCCACAAGTCAGTCAGGAGAAGCTGAGCAGAATGGATCCACCTTCCTCAGAGCCTGTCTGCACATCAACTACTCTTCAAAAGGCACCCAGTATTTGTAGCCTTTCCTTCCCTTTCTATATCTGCCCTCCAAAACTTTCTGGATGTATCTGAAAACAAACAGTTATGATTCTGGGTTCAATTCTATAGAAATTAGTAAACCTAACAGAGCCACCCTCATGGTTCTAAGCATAGGAGTCTTGTTAAATAAAATTATAGGTTTTATATGTTGTGTAATGACTGCAGAATCAGAACAAAAAGAAGAAAAGAGGTCTAACAAGACTGATAAACCAGGGGCACAAACTTATCTGTGAAGCAAGAATTGTTCTTCGAACACTTAAAGAAAAGGAGGTGCAGACAGTCTTAATAACACCTTCTGGCAGTTGTGTCTATCAGAAGAACCTCAGTAACAATCTCACCTGATTGCAAGGTGTGCTCCGAAATGCCCATAACTCTCTCTCAATCTCTCTTTCTCTCTCTTTCCCTCTCTCTCTCTCTCTCTCTCTCTCTCTCTCTCTCTCTCACACACACACACACACACACACACACACACAACCTTAAAAGTTTATGTATGTGTACAAGTAGTCTGCCGGCATGTACATCTGTGCACCAAGTGCGTGCTGGTATTCAAGGAGGCCAAAGAGATTGTAAAATCCCCTGGGACTGACTGTTGTGAGTCACCAAGTGGATACTGGGAATTTAAATCAAATCTGGAAGAGCAGCAAGGGCGCTTAATCTCTTAACTATTCTCTCTTTAGCCCCTATACTTATATTTTTAAAACTAGACAAACTGTAGTTTGTTTTCTTTTTTAAGCACTTAGAGGGAAAAGGCAAAAATATACCACACCATGAAATTTTACCAATCAAAAATGTAAATTTTAAATACTAGACATAAATGAAACACAGCTAATGGAATGCCCAGTCAGGGTGTTGGCTTTAACAATGGCCCTCACCTCTGTCATCCCAGCACTCACAAGTCCAGGGAGCTCACCTGTGTTAGGTCAAGTTGATGACAGGGAGGGCAAAAGCCAACCTGAGCTTTCAGATTGAAACACCCACACTCACACACACAACAATTTCAAAACACATTAACACAATGGTAAATCAGTGGGGCATGGGGTAAGAGAAAACTAAACAAAGCACTCATCTGTTTCCCAATCACAGAGTAGCAGTGGCCCAGCTGTGCAGAAGAGAACATCAGCAGCCAGGAGGTGCAGGGCATTTAAAAGGCTGAGAAAGAAAAACTGAACGTAAGACCAGCCTGAGCCACACACATACATACATGCATGCATGCATACATACATACAAACACACACACACACACACACACACACACACACAGACTGTCTCAAAAAAACAAATTCTATGTCTAATATATTTAATTACATGTCATTTTATTAAAGAATTATTTTATTATTCCCTATTAAATATACTTAAATGCTGGATAAAATATTATGATTGTTAACAGTAATTATGTGCTGTATTGTTAATATATATAGCCAATACAGCAATTATTACACTTAACATTGGCTATGATTAATAGTTAACAAATTGGTGTTTTCTTCTTTATATTCTTTATTTTTAAATATTTCCTAATTTATTATGTATATTATATGCATAAGTATACAAAATAATTAAGCTTAGGTAAACACCACTAACAGTTTTTTTTTTTTTTCATCATAAAAATACTGGTAAAGGAGTTGTGTTTTTAAAATAAAATGCTAAATTTGTAACAGAAATACCATATCACACACATACACCCAAAATCAATCCACATCCTGAGCCCAATACTGTGGCCTCAATACTGCTTCATACTAAAAACATCAGCATGCAGAGACACAGCAGATTTGAAGAGTAAGGACGTGCAGAAGACAATGTGAAAAATATCTTGTTATGATGGCTTGGGAACCTATCAATGTCTACTATGGTCACTTTAAAGATTGGAAAGTCAACTTGAAAAAGCTCCTTTAACCAAGAAAATATGGCATCAATAATAAAACCACAAAGTAATAAATATGTAAATGTTCAAATCTACAAGCACACAATAACACTTAAACAAACCCTACCTTCTAGAACGCGGGAAACAAGTCAGTACTTGAAAACCAATAAGGAAAGGAAAGAGCCCAATGTGCATGCCTCCCCTTACAAGCCAGGACACCAAGGACCTGCAGAGACAGCAATGTTGTGAATACTCACTGAATAATGAATTTAGAGTCTAGGCCATGATTACCAATGAGCATCCTCAGCTATCAGATGATCCTTTGGGGACGTACTAGTAATGTCGACAGATAGCCCTGTCTCCCTAGCACTCAGAAACAAGGGTGAGACCAAAACTAGATTAAACCTTTAGACCTAGCTGTTGGTTTGCAGAAAATACAAAGAAAAGATGTACATTTCCCTAAATAGATAAAGTTAATAACAGAGTCCAGGAAAGGGATAATTACTTAAACTGTGCCCAGCATCTAGGCATCTTGTTACTGTTCTATGAAAACATAATTAAGAAGTTAAAGAAATTTAAATGATTATTAAAACTGCTATCCCCTCACACCTATTAGATATCAACAAAATCTGGACCACAATATGGAAATTCTCAAAACAGTACAACTAAAATACCTACATGTTCCTGCTCCAAAAACAGCCTGCTCTGAAGTTTCAAAAAGAACTTTTTAAAATCTGAAGTCAGGATCTCAGCTAACTCTACCATGGAACGAACCAAAAGAGAAGTAATCCAAATGCCCACAATGCAAAACAATAATCAGAGAAAGAAAACATGTATAACATGGTATGTTATTAAGCCTTTGAAAAGGAAAAGATAGCCTTTAATCCCAGCACTCAGGAGACAGAGCAGGTGGATCTCCATCCTCCTTTGCCTTGCAAGCACCAGGTCAACTAGGCAAATGAGACCCTGTCTCAAAAAAAGAAAAAGGAAAGAGGAAAGAGCACCATTGGCTACAACATGAATGGACCTCAAGGCACCATATACAGAAACAGAAAGAAGACGATCTGAAAGAGACAAGCATTGTTAGAACATCACTTACAGAAGAACCCTAAATTACTGAAACTCAGAGAAAAGGAAATGACGGCACTGCAGATCTAGACAGTCTGTTATGAACACTCAACCACTGCTGACACCTGCATTAACAATGGTGTTAGCACCTGTTATGTGGTTTCAAATATGAATAAAGAATACTTACTTTCCTTCTCACAGTTTAAAGCAAAAGGATGCTACTGTAATTATATAGCAGTCTGCCATGTCTAATACTAAAATACTTAGGAATAAAAATGGTGAGGCAATGACCACAATAATCAGGCAACATTTACATAGAAAAGACTGCTGCTCAGCTGCCCACTGAGACTGCCCACTGTAAACTGAACAGCGGCATGCACAAAGTCCTGGGTTTGGTGTCAAAGACCAGGAAAAACATTCACTCTACTATTTCCTTATCCCCAAAACACACAAAATGAAAGTTGAAGAAAACCATTCTGAATTCTAGTTTGTGAGATCACTTAGCCTATAGCCTAAAACTGTAAGTCTTAGGAATTTAACACAACTCTACAATTGAATTTTTACAAGTCATTAAACACTGTCAAAAATCAGAGAGCCCTAGTATATTCAGGAAGTATAATTACTATTGTATGCATGACAGCTGAGATGTATCATCCAAACCTAAAATCTTTCTAAAGAGTTAAATATGCCTCTCCCCTAAAGTTAGCAACTAAATAAAACTGTAAAATCTTATACACTTAATTGCATACTAACAAGGAACATCAGCATAAGCACAGTACCCTAAAATCCATTAGAATGATGAGCAAAAATAAACGAACTATTACTACTAATACTAAATTTTTAATGGCAAGAAAAGAAATTCCTACTCAAAAAATGTAGTACATGTCACAAAAGATCATACTTATATCACATTTCTTTTTTTTTTTTAAATCTTGATGTGGTTGTCTGAATGAGAATGGCCCCAGTTAGCTTTCTCTCTCTCTGCCTTACGGTTGTGGTCTCAACATGTAAGCTCTCAGCTATCACACCATGCCAGCCTGCCTACTGCCATGCTTTTATGCCATGGACTCTAACCCTGTAAAACTGTCAGCTTTCTTCTATCAGTTGCCTTGGTCATGGTCACTCATGACAACAATAAAAAAGATACTTGGTGACCATTAAAAATTACAAAAATGAGAATCTTCAAAGTAAGGGTTCCTTTTGCTAATAATTTTAAACTCTTACACGGAGTTTTCTCAGATTGTTAAGGAAATTTTAATTCTCAAGTCTCTAAAAAACAAGAATAAACACAGCTGTAAGAGCACTGCCTGGAACAGGATAAAAAGGAGAGGCACCTTACCATTGGCAGTGCATTGATGTGAGGGTGTGCACCTGGATATCCGACCACCAATCACAAGCTGCTAAGGAAGAGAAAAAGGAAAAGTTTCAGTGTTCCCAAATTCAATTTAAGATTTCCCACACCAAACTTTGCATGTTCAAAATACTCACACAAGGCCTCAGCATCCCACCAATGACACTCTCCCCAGGCAGCTGTGTCACTAACAGCAGCAAACACTGCATGCCTACACTCATGGGGGTGGGGGGCTAATGTAATTACCACCACCCAAGGAAGGTCATGCATGAGGCCCACCAATTCAGCCCAATCCCAGCGAGTAAAACTGCATTAAAGTTCAACAGGCTATTCGTCAGATATGACCAACAAACCATTAAAATGACGTGAACTTGCATTCTATATATTTTGATCCATGAGCATAAAAGAACTTTCCATCTTCTGGACACCAACCCAGCCACAAAACCTCTGCCTACAAGATGTGCTGGGGTAAAGGTGGTGCAAAAATTGTGGAAATCGCCAGCCAATGGCTGGTCCATCATGAGACCCATGCCACAGGAGGGAGCCCACACTTTACAATGCCTGGAGGGCTAGGACCCAGAGGTTAGTATCCCAAGGACCTAGGATAGAACCAAACACCACTACCCCTTGCACATCAAAAAGTCAATGAAATGATTCCTAATGATATTTTGCTATATACATAGATTGGTACCTAGTCCAACTGTCATCAGAGAGGTTACACTCAGTAACTGGTGGAAACAGATGCAGAGACCCACAGGCAAACATTAGATAGAGTTGGAAAAATCGTACTGAAGAGGGGGAGGACGAATTATAGGAGTCAGAGGGGTCAAGGACACCAAAAGAAAACCCAAGAATCAACTAACTTGGGCTTGTAGGAGCTCAGAGAGACTGAATGAATAACCAGGAAGCTTGCATGGGTCTAACCTAGGCATATATGTTACACTTGTTCTTGTTCTTCTTGTAGGACTCCTAACAGTGGAAGCAGGAACTGTCTCTGACTTTTTTGCCCACTCTTAGAACCCTTTTTTCCCCTACTGAGTTGCCTGGTCCAGTATGAGTGGAAGTGCCTAGTCTTAATGCAATTTGATATGCCATGTTTGGTTGATATCTCTGGGAAGCCTAACCTTTTCTGAAGAGAAATGGGGGAGGAATGATTGGGGGCAAGGGGAGGGAGGTTAGGAAGGGGGACTGGGAAGGGAGGAGGGAGGAAAGCCTGCAGTTGGTATATAATAGATGAAAGAATAAAGGAAGAAAATGTTATGTTTCACATGCAACACCTAAGAGGCAATGTCAGAACAAACACCAACCATCAGTGCAAAGCACATTAAAAGGTAGCACCAAGCTGAGGGCACCAAAAGAGGGTAGCCACAGTGTTATGCTAGGAATATATCCTACAGCATGAGAAAAGTGAGTATAAGCAAGTCAAGAATAAAGATCACTATGCAGTATCTGAATATCTACAAAACTCACAAGTCCCTCAGGTTTGTTCTTCTGGTTTTATTCCTCACTGAGCACCCAGATATCCTGGCACCATGGCTACACTCACTGGAGACCCAGGAACTCAAGTTAACTTTAGAGACCACATACTGAGTTACAGAAGGTCACGTCAACATACATCCCTGCACTGGCCTCCGGTTCTTTAAGATATGTTATGTGTAAAGCACTGGCTTTTAGGTATGAGGAGCTAAGACATGCAGAGAAACATTCTATAGACAGCACGACTGAGTTCCAAAAAACAGATGCCACCAGACTCTGGCTAGTGTAAGGTTACGCACAGTGAACATCACTTATTTTACATAAAATATGAACGTCTAAAGGGGATTTTTAAATTTTTTATTTGTGTATGTATGACTCTGTATATGTACCTGTCATGTATGTGTAGGTGCCTGCAGAGACCAGAAGAGGGCACTGCATCCCTTGGAACTGAGGTTACAGGAAGCTGCCTCTGAGTCACCATTGTGAGCGGTGGGAATGGAGGGATTCTTAACTGCTGCCCAGTTTTTATGAATTCTGAGCTAAAGTTATCTATTAGTAGTGTTCTTATTAGAAAAAAAAAAGTTCTTCTTTGCCATACATGTTTTCTATTTATCTATATACAATTAACATACATTGCTAAATACACAGAAAAGACATTAAATAAATTGCATGCATATTTTCTAACTATTGTGTTAACATTGTGACATTTTTATGTGTCTTCTTAATCAACATCTTTTCTTGTCATCATTAAGAACTATTTTCAGCCAGGCACTGGTGATGCATGCTTTTACTGAAGCAGATGGATCTCTTCAGTTTGAGGCCAGCCTCGTCAGCACAGCCCATTCCAGGAGAGCCAGGGTTAGAGATAGAACCTTGTGTCAAAAAAACACAAAAACAAAAAGGGAAAAAAAAAAAGGAGGAAAGGAGAGAAAAAAGAGGGAGGGTTTACCCGTGAGTGCTGGTACATGCCTTTATCATTAGAGAAGCAGAGACAGAGGGATCTCTGTGAGTTCAAGACCAGCTGGTTAATATAGTGAGTACCAGGACATCCAGAAAAAAAAAAAAAAAAAAAAAAAAAAAAAAAAAAAAAAAAAAAAAAAACCTAAACCAACAGGCATGTACCTGTAACAGTCCTTCTTTGATGATCTTTAGCTTCAAACATCTAAACGGATTAGATTGAGCAGATGGATATTAGTTTCTAAGAATCAACCCTACCAGCCTGCCCTGTTCTTGTTTCAATATGCAGTTTCTTTGTCAGAATCTTCTTATAAAACAGTTAAACAGAAGAGACTATAATCCAAAATCCACTTAACAAGTGAAGGCACAACTCAAAGTCCAGTACTGAGATGCACTAGACAATGGAATGACAGAAAGGAGAATCATGCACACTCCCCACCTCTCTCTGCAGACATATGGTCCATATTATAAATGACTCTTCCATCAGAGCCAGCTGCACTGCAGACCAGAGTCCTTTATCAAGTATCAGAAACAATGCTGTCACCTTAAATGAGCATCAATGAACTAACAATGATGTTCTAGCCACATACACATCACATCTTGTGTACCTATCCATACACATGAATTGCCACACATTACTTGGGGAAAATACTGAACCAACTCAGTTAGTTTCCTTCTTTCCAAGGCTCTTTTCCTTTCTTAGAGTCAGTGAGAATTTTCCTCACCAACGCTATAGATGTATTTAATCAAAAGAAAAATCACACAAAAGGAAAATTTAATTTTGTAAAACACAGATAATACTTGCATAGCATTTACAAACATTACAGGTGTACTTTAATCACAGGACCATGAGCTTAAACCAAGGCAGGCAAATCGAGCTGTAATACGTGTCCTGTACACCTGCCCATTAATTTCCTTTTGTTTTCTGGAGGCATGTTCTTCCTCTACCTGCAGCCCAGGTGGCTTCTAACGTGCAATCCTCCAGCCTCTGAACACCATGATCTGCTTCACTCCTGTGGCTATCAGTTTTTTCACTCCCTTGCCCTTCAGTCCTCTGCAGTCTGTAGCTGCCACGGCACTGACATTCTAGTACTGGAAATGCCCTATTAAAAAGGCTCTGTCCTCAAACCTAGCTCCCTTCCTTCCTCTGGGGTTCAACCCACATCAGATTACTCCACAGTCACCCATGGCACGATGGGGGTGGTATGGGGAGCTGTCCTTAGCAAAACTCTTCCAGTAGCTGTCTAGCAGCCCCCCTAGTTCTGCAGACCAGGGCCCATTTGCTCATCTTGCTATTCCTCTATACAACTAGAAAATATGTAGTTCTTGAAATTGAGTGTCATCACAGCACAGGTGCGGGATCAACCACAGGAGTGAGGAAGAGGTGGCTGGCTGCTGCTATACTGGTGAAGAAGGCCTTTCACACCACTTCCAGAAGGCGGCAAGGACAGACTGATATTCCACTAACAGAAAACTAAAGCACACCTCACAAATTACAAAGCTAACTTTGTGAACTGTTAAACCTAATTTAAGTTCATTCAGTTTCCAAACAAAATATTTCTTTTTAAAGCTAACACCAACGGTTGCCTAATGTGAATAAAGCATTAATCTTAGAAAAGGCCTTTAGCATAGACATTGGGACTAAGCAAACATCTTCCAAGTAATGCCACTAACACATAATTAGGCTTTTTTTAATATGTAAAAGAAAATCTGAAAAATGACAAAATGTATTTTGACTGGTTTCTAACAATAAATTCATTTGATTCACTGATGCCTTTGAAAATACAGTGGAAAATGTGGCTTCTCCCATAGGAAAAGTGCAAACAAAACAAACATTTACTTTAAAGGGAGCAACATAATCTAAAGAATAGCCGTCTGTGCCAAGTGCAAGAAAATGCATCTGTGTACTTAAAGAAAAAAGAAAACAATGAATTTCCATTGTGTGTGGAGAACCCGGATGTCACATTTAGAACTGAGGAAAAATGGAAATCTTACCAGAGCTGATTTATTAATTGAGATTTCAATTGGATGTAGCTCAACCCCAAACTCACAAATAAAATGGAAAAGATGCTATTAAATGAATTCCTGAGGAAAAATGCCAACTGGATCCCCTAGAGGGACAATTTTTAAGGTAGCTATATATAAAAATCAGTTTCAAATGATCTTTCCCCATTGTTGATTTTACAAAAACAAAACAAAATTTATAGATTATTTTCCTCAGTATGGCAATCCCTGACAACCCTATAATGTGTAGAAGAAAGCCTTTGAAACAGTGGACAGTGTGCCTGAGTTGACACAAACATGCACATGCCCCAGCTCACCCTTGCCCTCGCTCAGTGCAGCAGCGCTCATGCTCGCGCGCGCACACACACAGGAGTGCTTGTTGGACACCAGAGGATGAGGTGGGAGTGGCTCCCCCTGCAGGAAGATCTTAAAGAAGCAGCCTGGCTGGGCAACAGGAGAGGCCTCCTGGGCTTAACCTGTGCTTGCTTTCACTTCCCACTGTTATTCAAGTTACTTGGGGAAACCTGATCCAAAAAGTTGCATAGTATGACCTTAAACTGTGTAAAACTAGGCAAGTTTTCAAGACCACATACCCATATAAAGTTGCCTAAG